CGAATCTGCACTTGGAATGTGCGCACGTTGTAAAAGACAGGCGCAGTGTTCGCTTTGGCGGATATGCTCAAAAAGTACAAAGCCGATATTATTGCCTTACAGGAAATGCGATGGAAAGGGACAGGCGTAAGTAAATCAGACGATTACACACTGTATTATAGCTGCCATGAAATGAGACATGAATTTGGCTGCGGATTTATGGTTAACAGGAGAATAAAAGACCTTTTCTCCAGATTCACTCTAGTAGATGAGCGAATTGCTATAATCCGCATAAAAGCAAAGTTCTGCTACATCAGTATCATTGACCAAAGACATATTTTACGAGCGCCTAGAAACAGCATGTGACTGTTGCCCTGGCCATGACATTAAAATTCTGCTAGGAGATTTAAATGAAAAAACGAAAGTAAAATATCTTTGGCCCCACCGTCGGAAAATTCAGCCTTCATGAAGAAACATCCGACAACGGCATGAGGTTGATTGACTTTCCTGATCAAGCAACGAGAAATCAAATTGATCATGTTTTGATAGACGGAGGGCATTCATTCAGTGTTTTAGTCGTCCGATCGGTCCGAGGAGCGAATATCGATTTGGACCATTACCTTGTAGCAGCCAAGGTACGCACCCGTCTTAATGTAGCAGCAAAGGTGCGATCTAACACAACACGGAAACTAGGGAAACCCTGCAGACAGTAGCAACACGTAACGTGATGGAGAATTATCGGGAGAAAAGGAGAGAGGAAAAACGTGTTTTCGGAAAAAGAAGAAAGAACAAGAAAAACGTGAGCGTGATCAAATCGAGATGTACAGGTGTCAGAATGAAGTCCGGAAATTTTACCAACGAGTAAAACACCAAACCGAAGGCTTTGGTGCAGGCACATCCTCCTGTAGAGATGAAGAAGGAAACTTGGTGACAGATACAGACAGCGTGTTGAGGATCTGGAAGGAGCGTTTTGTAAAGCTTTTAGTATCAAATAGTGGCGTTTAAGAAGATACCCCAGGAGCATGCACCAGCTGATTAGTACAATTTGGCTAGAGGAATGCATGCCCAATGATTGTAACCTTAGCATCCTGTGTCCCCTGCACAAAAAAGGACACAAGACGATATGTGCCAACTATAGAGGAATAAGTCTCCTTCCCATCGAATATAAAGAGCTATACAGTGTGGTGTGTGAACGATTGAAGCCAATGGTCTATGACATCATCGGACCATACCAATGCGGCTTCAGACCTGGCAAATCCACCATTGACCCGATTTTCACTCTGCGCCAAATCCTTGAAAAGACCCACGAAAAACACATCGACACATTCCACCTATTTCTCGACTATAAAACCGCATTCGACAGCCCTATCCGTTCAGAGGTGTTTAAAGTCAGGTCTACGTTCGGCATTCTTGCAAAATTAATACGGCTATGCAGGATAACTTTAAGTTGCACAAGGTCAGCAGTTAAAGTAGGAAAGGACCTATCGTAGCCCTTCAATACTGAAGTAGGATTCAGACATGTTGACAGTTTGTCGTGTGATCTTTTCAACATCCTGCTGGAAAAGGTCATACGAGACGCAAAGGTGAACAGAAATGGCAATGTGTACACCAAACAACATCAGTTACTTGCCTACGCCGATGACATCGATATAATGGGTCGAACATTGTGAGCGGTAAACGGCGAGAAAATCAAGCTGATGGTATCAACGCGCAAGACGTCCAGTAGACTCGGACCAACTGTGGAACTTGAAAACTGCAGCTCCGAGGTAGTTAAAGACTTTATATACCTTGGATTGTGATGGCCAACCGATGCTACTATGGTCTAAGTAAGCAGTTTAGAAACAAGGCCACCTCCCGCCAGACCAAACTCACACTTTACAAGACGCTGATACTACCCGTGCAATTATATGGATCTGAAGAGGCAGCCCTTGGGGTGTTTGAAAGAGAAATTCTCCGAAAGATGTATGGGCCGATCTGCGTCGACAGTGAATATCGGCGTCGAATGAACCACGAGCTTTACAATTTATACGCGGACATCGACATAGTCAGTCGTATTGAACTGCAGCGACTACGGTGGCTAGGCCATGTTGTGCGGATGAATGAGAATGCCCCAGCTCAAAAGGCATATAAAAACGAGCCTACTGATGGTTCCCGTAGAAGGGGAAGGCCACGAATTAGATGGAAAGACCAAGTAGAAAATAACATCTTGGAACGTGGTCTTCCAAATTGGTGGATTTGCGCACTTTTTTAAGCTCGGCTTATGGAACAACCGTTCTGTAACAAGCCAGCTAAGTAAGTAAGTATTAACATGCACTTATGGCATTTTTATTATACAAAATTATACTTTGACTGTCAAATTTTTATAATAAACTTTTTGTGAAAGATATTTTGAGTTTTTATCATGTTTTGATTTATATTTCGCGATTACAAATTGAAAGCAAGGAAAGACTAAGGCATGCATTCAACACCCGGTAGACCTTATTTATGCGCCATGGTTATAAAGACCGAACCATAATATCAGTTTTTTTTTTTTTTTTTGATGTTTTTCATGAATGATATCTCACATCTATTTTAATGAAGTACTTTTTTTAAATAAATTTATTTGTTTAATTATACCCTACGCCTTAAGGTTAATGAGGGTAATACACTTTGCTACGACAAAAATGTGTCTCGTCGAAATATTGGCTTTATACCCATTGTTTCTTTGAACCAAATCCGATTCAGACAATTTGGAGTAGATTTGCCAAAGGTTTTTTTATCGTGCTGGTGCGTGCAATAATTCTCGAATGCAGTAACATATTTCATCCTTCTGGTACCTATAAACTTGTAAATTTCATGTGTAATTTCGAAGACCTCCGCAAATCTTTCGTTTACCCTTGCCTTGGATATAACGAACTTCCACTATATCGAACTAATTTGCTTACTAGTGCGTTGTAACCGTACTTCGCTGTATAGGTTTAAAAGAAGTATATGTATACTGTGTTTACTTGTGGTTACTACACACTAGTACACCCTGTTGAACAGGGTGATATATTGGATTAACGTGAAAATAGCAAAGTTAAATTTAGCATGGACACAAACCTGATTAATCAACCAACAATATACAAATAGTAAAGCAATTACAAAGACATAAAAGTATAAAATAGTACAATTGATACGTAAGCAATTTCCAACAGATGGCTTTTCCTCTGTTGTTACGATATCATAACAACAGAGAGAACAATATTAAAAGTTGTTATTGCTATATCTTAGGCTTATAAAATGAAAATACATATTTTGAGTGCAGGCCTCTAATTTTATTTACATTTTATTCACACATTTTTGCATATTGACGTTTTTATTCATAACATGCCTCTGTTAACCTTGATTCCCCCTGGATATTTTTTCATAAACTATTTTGCCAAAATGCATTTTGTCGAGTCTTTACGATTTCTATGTCTTTGGCAATTAAAAGAAATGTTTGGGGGCTTTGTTATATTCTAACAACAGATGGCGCAGGCGATTTACAGATAATCTGTCTAATGTTAGTCAAATGCAAGAAAAACCAGTAAGGAAAGTAGTATAGTCGGACTGGGCCGACTATATGATACCCTTCACCACTTTGGGTATATTCTATTGGTATTTGGTATGCATCACTGTTTAAAATGTATCAATCAGGTTTGGTGTATAGTCAACATGAATAGGTCGAAATTATATATGGAAGCTAATCTGAACCTTTAAGGCACAATTTTACACGTTGACGGACAGTAAAACAAGTGAAATTCAAAACATGACACTAGGCTTCTACTTGTACGCTGGTAAATGCACATTTGTGCTGCTACGGCCGTCATGTCACATAGTGAACTTGAACTTAACGGCTATAGACGCAACTGTCCGTCAACGTGTTAAATTAAATCGGTCGGAAATATATATTGAAGCTATATCTAAATCTGACCCGATTTTCTAGAAATATAGCACACATCCTTCGGGACCTATTTCAGTACTCTGTGCAAAATTTCGTGCAAATCGAAAGATATATAGGGACTTTGGTGCACCATTTAACTTAAATCGGACGAAACTATATATGGGAGCTATATCTAAATCTGATCCGATTTTCTCGAAATTTGGCACACATCATTCTGGATCTAATTCAGTACTCTGTGCCAAATTTCGTGCAAATCGAAAGATATATAGTGACTTTGGTACACCATTTACTTTAAAACGAAAATATATATGGGAGATATATCTAAATCTGAACCAATTTTTGACATTTTCAATAGGGTTCGTCCTTGGGCCAATTAAGTGACCCATGCTAAATTTCATCTAAATCGGATCATAAATGTGACCTGTACTTTGTTAACAAAAATACATGGATGGACGGACAGACGGACATGCATAAATCGACTCAGAAAGTGATTCTATGCATATTCTCAAAAGGAACCATTGGTCTATCTCGATTATTTTTGCCTGTTACAAACATATGCACAAAGACATAATACCCTGTACCACACTGTGGTGAGGGATATAATAATTAGGACAGTATAATAAAAATAATTAAGCCCTTAGGCTAAGTCAAACCAAACTAAAATCTATGAGAAACCAGAAAAATGTTGGATATAGTACATTGGAACTATATTAAAAATTACTTTAGTCACCATGACATATTTTAATTAGTCAGGTCCGTATGTTTGGCACTGAAACATGGACTGCAAACATTTCGATAAGCTCTTAAAAACTGTCGTTATCATTCAAAACCAGAGGTTTACCTATGTTAACAATTGGATTAATACCTACTATTTCAAATACGCTACGACAACAAAACACACATGAATACGTTTTAGTTTTTTTTTTTTAACCAAATTTATTTCAATTAATTTGCTATTAACGGTATACAATCTGGGAAGAAGTGTTTTTTCCATTCGAAAAAAATATCTCAAAATTTAAAGCATTTGCCCCTTTATCAAGATTTAAAATTTCCATTCGAAAAAAAAATATCTCAAAATTTAAAGCATTTGCCGCTTTTTCAAGATTTAAAATTTCGTTTAAATATCATGTTCGATATTGATTTTAATGACATTAACTTTAGGTTCGGCACGTGGTGTCGTAGGCACTTCTGGCGTTTTAGGTTGTTCTTCAATCTCCGGTGTAGTACTTATGGTAATTATTGGAATATTTTCGGCTGACCAATTAGATGACTGCGAATCTTGCCGTATCGGTTGTCTACGCTGAGATATGGCACGTTGTTGGAATATTATGGGTCCAGGTTTATCTAATTCTTCAGGATCTCTAGCGGAGATAATGTGCGTTTCACTGCCAGACATCATTAGATTATTATAGCTTGGTGGATCAATATCTTCGGGCATTTCAAGGGGTGCTCGAGGCATTATATAGGGTTGAATACTGTCAATGGTGGCGGTGGAGGGATTTTTAGGTGTGCTTAATTCAGAGCTGCTGACAGCTGGAATATTCGTTGTGGGTTCTGCAGTGTGCATAGCTACTGGAAGCATGATGGCCTGATTAATAGCCGATGAAACTTCAAGTTGTGGTGTCGATGGTATCTCAATGGCGGTATCGGAATGTTGTTCAGTGTCTGGGCGGCTGACTGCATCTTTCATTAGAGTCAAAAATGATCCAATTTTTTTACGACTTTGCCTTGAGAGATTGGCAAACTTTTCCGATCCCAAATGATGTTTATTGCCGGTGGTGGTGACATCTTCGATCGGACGTGGTGATTGCAATTCTGCCTCCAAATGTTGCCACGTTGGGGTAGTGGCAATATCTGCATCTTTGCTCAGCTTTTCTGCGTCAAATTTAAATACTTCTGGTTCGGTGGATGGTTTTGCTTTGTGACGTTTGAATTTTAGCTTCCCGCCAAGATTGTGTAATTGTTCCAACATTGGAGGCGTTGACTGCTTGTCCTCGTGCAATTTGGGCGATTTTTCATCAACGATTTTGTACGACAATTGCTCCTCATCGTTGAGTGGTGAGTTGAGTTTTTTCTCTTTTTTGGGTGGCAATATTTTTTTATTGTCTTTTGTTGGTTCCGCATCCTCTTTGATGTCTTCCTCGCTGGTTTTCTCAAGCGAACTTTGTTTAGAGGCGGCATTTTTATCTTTGCCTTCGCGTTTCTTACGTCTAAAGCTTTCGTAGATCCGTTGTTTTATTTCTTTAGTTTTGTCTTTTTCCTTCTCGGCCTCTTTTTCTGGGATTATAAGAGCATTGACTTTTAGGTGTTCTTTTTCGCCAGTTGTATCCTCGCCTTTGTCTAGGTCTTTGGTATTATCTGTTGAACTCCCTTTGTCCTTTGGATATTCTATTTCATGTTCATCCAAGTTTTTCTCATTTTCGGAACGTTTATCTTTCTCTTTGGTTTTTTGTTTTTCTTTGCCGTTTCCCTTGTGTTTTCCTTTCCCGTTTTCTTTTGGTGATTCTTGTCTATCTTTATCTTCTTCTTGCTGCTGGTAATCTTTGTCTTTACCATTTTTCCTTTTCTTTTCTTTGTTCATATCATTAACGTTTTCTTTAGTTGTTGATTCGTCTTCGTGTATTTTATGTTTCTTTTCATCGCTGTTGCTATCACTGTCCTTTTCTTTGACATTGTTTGTGTCGTCTTTCTTCTTATGCTTCTTTTGGTCTTTATTGTTATCTCCATTCGTCTTTTCTTTAATTTTGTGACATTCTTTACCATTCTTGTCCTCATCTTTCCTCTTGCGTCTGACTTTTTCGTTATGTTCTTCATGATCTCCAATTTTCTCTTTCACCTTGCTGTCATTTAGGTCATCTTCATTTTGATGATGATTTTCGCCATGTTCCTTAAGTTTATCTCTATTCCGGCCATTCGCCTCATCTTCTTTCTTTTTACGCAATAAACTTTGACGTCTCTCATTTATGATTCTCGTTTTAATTTCCGGATCGTTCCCATTATCCATTGCTTGTTTCTCCTTATTGTTATTATCCTGTTCATTGTCTTCGGATTTCTTTTCGTTTTTCTCGTTTCTACTTTTGCCCCTACCACCATTACCCATTGCTTGCTTTCTTAGCGATCTGACACGTTCTCGTTCGCTATTTGCAATTTGCACAATATCCACGAGTGAAGGTTTTCGGGTTCTTCGTATTTCCTGTAGTTTTGATAACCCTGGTCGTCGTTCGTTGCCATCTTCATCGTGTGGCAAAGAGTCGTGGTGTTCAGTATCGGTGTCATCATCACGTCCATGCTGCCTAGCAAAGATTTCTTCATCCGAAGTGGCGGAATCCTTGCGTAAAGCTTTCTTCATGATGCGCGAAATCAATTCTGCAAAGAGAAAATAAAATTGTGGTAATTGAAATGGACCTGTTTACAATATAAGTTCATGTTTTGGCATAGGCCCCATATTTTTGTATTTTAAAGATTCAATTGAGATTACTTATCTTGTATGCATTTAATAACGTCAGTGGCGCCCAACATGGGCTCTTTTAGTGTCCAACATAAAGGAATGAGTGCCGCAATTATCAATAAAATGTAAATTTAAGTTATTGTACTTTATCTTAGGCACTTATTAGCTTTAAGGGTAGTCAGTGGCGCCCAACATGGGTTCTTTTAGTGTCCCACATAAGGGTATTATTACCACAAGTCTCAATAAAATATAAATTTAGGTTATAGTACTTAATCTTAAGCACATACTAGTTTTTAGGGTAGTCCAAAGTCTTACAATTTACTATATAACACCACTGGTGCCCAATTTGGGTTCTAAATAACACGTAAAACATCAATGTCCTTCTAAGATATTGGAAAATACTTAAAATCATTTAAAAATGGCGCCCAATACATGTTAATTCATAATTCAAACAAACTGTTTGAGGCCCAAAAATGTGTCTAAACGTTCAATTAAATATTAGAATCGCTTCTATGATTTTCAGGTACTGCGTCCTAGAGCTCTCAATTGGCGCCCAAAATAAGTTCTTTATGGTACAAAGACCTCGAGTTTAACAATTAAAAATCAAACAATTGCCTTAAAATGTAAAAAATGGGTCCCAGTTTATCTAAAATGCTAATTATTTTTTTTGACACCGTTTCAGCATGAAATCATTTTTGATAAAACCCAAAGGTTGTCTAAGCCCAGATTCACCATATAAAATATGCTTATCAATCTCAAATAGCAAAAAATGGTAAATTGTGCCGAACATACAATTTTTCCGTAGATAATTACACTAGTTTGCGGTAACTCCTTGAAAATTCTGATTGAAACACCAAGGGCCTAACCTTAGATATGAGCTGTCTTGTATTGTCTAATCCGAAAATCACCATATAAAATGCATTTTTCAATCTCAAATAGCTGAAAATGGTAAATGGCGCCCAACTTGAAATTATTCCGCAATAGAGACCAATCAGAATTTGTTGTACATCCTTGACAAATCTGTTCGAAACCCGAAATTTTCAAGCTAAATAAAATCAGAAAAATTATATCCCTCCTCAATGTCTTCTGCTCTCCAAATTTAATTTCGCATATCAATAAATCTTGCAAATTGCTATAAAACATAAATGACGCCCTGCTGTTGGTTCGTCTTATATCTATCTTTAGAAAAAGTGAAGTCTCAGACCTTCGATATAATTCTAAAGCATTTCTCGATTAAACTCTGCCATCCAATGTGTTTTTATGGCATATTGAAATACCTGTTTGAAACCAAACATTTCCAAGCAACAAATTTCCATGTCTCCCAACTTAAAAATATCCTGGCTGGCCAATTTCTGATTACAGAATTGAACAATTTTAATTTATATTTAAAGATAAGACTTCCTCAATGTCTTATCCTTCCCAAATTTAATCGCACATATCTAAAAATTTTCCTAATTGGTGTAAAAACTAAATGGCGCCCAACTGTTGATTCTTCTTGTAGCTAACTTTAGAAGCAATGAATGGCTTTGCAAAAAATATTCGATATAGGTCCTTGTTACAAGAAGATACCTCACATTTTAGGCTGTTATTGGTTTTCCGTATTCCTGGAGAATAAAAAACATCTTCTCAGAAAAGTTTCAATATGGGTCCATGCTTTTATATAGATCCTAAACAAAAGTTCCGTCATTTAATAACATCATCAAAACCTTGACGATGACATACTTCCCACAAAAAGCCCCCGACCTATATAAAAACATTTTGAATTACCTTTTCTCGCCTGATTCTTATATTCCTCACTTTCAAAGTCAGGCTGTGTCGTGGGTGAAACCGGTGAAGAGGCTTCCAAAACTTTACGCCATCTATTGCTCATAGTTGTGGTACTATTTTCAGCCGGTTTAATTTCCGGTACCTGGAAAATTTTCTTACGTTCCTCTTCACGTTCCTTTTGTAATTGAGTTTTCAAATCTTGATTGGCTTCACGCAAGGCACCCGTCAGCGAGACCAAATAATAAATTATCAAAATCAATAGCAGCAGCAAAGGGATGACAGTACTTGCCGATGCCATATAACGAAGTGGTTTGTGTAAATCTCTGTGAGAATTTGAAAATTATTATTATGAATTCGAATCTCAAGTCTAACATCAACAACTTACTCTGGCAGTGCATTTAATGTTATTGTTGTTATATATTCCGATGTTGTATTATAGGCTGAATAGGGACCACAATGCCATGATGGACGTAACCAGACAATGGCATAGGCCACTGGCAGTACGCAAAGGAATAACATTGTTAGCAGTAGAGATAGATAGAAATTGTTTGATTTGGATGCCCTGGAAATAGACAAATGAAAATAATATTTTTGGAAATTGTAATAATTTCAATCGGGATGCAAATATTAATTGGGTTGGTTCCTTTGACTTACTTAAAAACAACCTCATGCGGCACGTTACAGGTTAGAACAATCCATGACCTAAAGTACATCATAATCACCAATTTGACAAGATTTATTATCACCAGACCAGGTGAAAAGAATATACCCATCCACACTTGACCTTGATTATTTATAAGACCCAAAATATTTTCGGCTATTTTAAAATCACCATACTGAATAGACATAGGAGAGAAGAAATTATATTGATGTTATATATGTAAAGAGGCTGTATAATCGTAATTGTGCATACCTGAGGAAATGTTTTTTCCATGTCCCAACACCAGTTACGATTCACATAACGGACAAATAGAGCTCGCAGAAAATCCATAACCAGAGACAAAACTGTAGCAGTTATCTGATAAAATAAAAAGACATATTTACAACTATAAGGGTACATAATATTAAGGATACATAATACCCTACACCAATTTGGGTAATTGAAGGATTTATAATATAACCTTATAACTACTCAATACTAAGGTTATGTTAAAATTATATATAGATAAAAATATAATTTAGAAAAATATGCCCTTTAATAAAAATGGCACCGCATTTTAATAAAAAGTCTCCGCAGAGTTGTTCCTAAATAAAAAATAATGGTTATATTCATGGATGCACACTTTGGACCTTTATATGAAGTACATGTCATAACATGGATCTCTATTTTTAAGGAGTTTTTCACAGGGTGCGCAAAAATTCGCTCGCGAATTATTCAAAATACATTCTTTTCATTTTGTGCTCATTTTAAGAATGACTTTATGGCGATGAATTCTTTACCAAAACGATCATTCGCCAAAGAATGTTCGCACGCACATAACAAACGAGTGAGAGGGCACAACAACGTTCGTTCGTCTCGTTTGGTGGTTGAAATTCTTTCTGACATTCTCTCACGAATGAAATCAAACATTCCCGAATTCTCGAGAATGCTAATAACGGCAACAACAATAGGTTCGTTCGTTTACTCAATAATTTGTACGAATTTGTACAAATTATTACAAAATGTTGTTCGTTTACCCAAAAGTCCAGTAAAAGAGAGTGAATTGAGAGAGCAGATTTGTTTCAAGAAAATTGATTGTTTTGTGAATTTCATTTTGATTTTGTATCATTAAATACCAAAATGGATGAAGAAAACGCAAGTATTTAAAAAGAAGGTAATACAAGAGTAATTGGCGAACGATTTTTTAGGTTCCAAATCCAAACAAAAAACTTTGCATCCCTAACATGTCTGGAACACCATCGGTTATGTCCACCCCCATATCAATTGCAGATACAGGAATAACAGGTCACAACCCTTTTAAATGTTTGTGGGGAACAAACAACATCATTTTTCCGCCTGTTTTTTAGTTTGCGCCAATTTGTTTGTTGTTTTAATCAACTGTGTCGAAACAATCTTTTTACTGGATGTTGTTCGTTTACTTTTTGCAGTTTTCTCTCTTGAAAAGGAAAAATTCATATTTACTCTCTGCAAATTCTTATTGAGTAAATATTACTGGGAAAGTAAACGAACGAACCTAATAACAACAAACGTTCGTGAGAGAAAACAACCACCGATCAGTCTCGTTTCAGTTGTTGATGAAGGCGATTGTGTTATCGCTTGTTTACATGATTTTGTATTATTGCAGACGCAGTTTTTCGTGAGAGCAAGAGTTAATCTCACACACCTTGTGTCTGTGTGCAGGGCTGCCAGATTTGTTTTTTTTTTTTTTTGGAAAAATCGTCAAAATGACGATTTTTTTTATCAAAAATCGTCAAAAATTTAAATACGCAATTTAGATATATTTAAATATATTTTTTTTATTAAAATGAACATAAAAGATGTATTCAATTTATTAAACACGTTTTTTAAAGCTAATCAAGAAATTCATTAATTTTATAAATATTTGAATAATCATTTCGACTTTAATAAAGTCATTCATTTTGAAAAGAAATATTTGTGGTAATCATTTTCAACAAGTCGGTTTTAATTAACGTATCATAACAATTTGTTTTGTTAACTTTTAAATAATCATTGGTATAAATTTCTCCATTGAATCCTTATTGGGGGAATTTCGACTTTTCGTTTTATTAAGATTTACTTGGCTGAAAACACGCTCAACATTTGCTAAGGAATGGGGTTATACCATTACCTTCCGTAAAAATTTAGTTATAGGAAAAACATATGAACCATCACCACGTTTCAAATCAAATATTGCATTCCAAAAACGAAATAAATCGGTTTCATCATTTTCACAAATGTTATCAAAATCAAACAACCGTAGTTCGCGAAATTCTGAATCCAATTTTTGTTTTTCATCTTCGTTCACAAAATGTGGAAATTCTTTAAGGATATCGAAAAATGAATTTTTCTTTTCATTACTAATATACGTGGGACTTATCATAGATACAATTTTAAAAATGCTTTCAAATCGAATCTTTTTAAATTTGTAATAACTTTGTATAAATTGAAACTTAAATTTAATATAACAACGTTTCCGTTCACCAATTTTCTTCAATTTGCCCGTGTCAAAAAGCAACAACCGTTAACTTTTATTTGTTTTGTTGCTGTCTACCCAGAGAACGGCACAGCTGATTGGTAGTTTTTCATCTATCTGGGTAAACGTAAACTGTTGTGCATTCATTGTAACTTTATCATTCACGATAAATTGGAAACATTCGAATTCTCGCCCGTGAGCATTCGTTCTTCGCATCCTCGCACAATATGGAATATCTATGCCCCTGAAACCTTCAAAATACCGAAAATGGGTCATTCTAAATCGTATACCAATGACAAAACCTGGGAATAAAATTACTTAAATCTGATTGGGACCTTAATATGGAAGCTATGTCGAAATATACTACATTGTTATTTTCTACATACATATTATTTATGGTCCATGAAACCGAAATGCGAAATTTTTACCCGCCGAAAATTAAAGACGAAGATCGTTCATGTGCGTCAACACAACAATATGTTGTCGTTTGAGGGTTATAAAAGTAGCCATCATCATCATCATCACTTTATGGAAAGCACCCACTAGCAAGGCATGTCACGAAAAATCTTAATTACTTGGAGAAAGCGGCCCAAAATAACAAAAGAGAGCCTCTAGATCAACAGGCCTATCAAGCAGGATTGAATCATATTCACACGGAAGTAGTTGAGGAAGCAATTTAAGAATATAGAGTGAATACCATACCTGGAGATCATACGCCTACGATAGCAGCAGCTACCACAACGAACCAGAATAGTTTTGGCACAACTAAGATCTGTATGGTGTGGTCGCCTCATTTCATACTGGGCACGAATTGACGACACTGTGAACAATATCTGTTCAGCATGTGATATTGGTCCACATGACACGCTACACCTCTTCAACTCTCCAGCCAAACCTACTCAGCTAACCATATCTTTACTTTGGACACAACCGATACAGATCGTAGCCTTCTCGAAACCAAAGGTGGTAGTTTTCATTCCGTGTTGGAATGGATAAAAAACTTATTTGCAAAAATTTGTAAATATAGTTCCATTTTTTGGCATAGTTAAATTATAAGTTTAAATATTGGGGAGACAAAAAATCAGGAAGAAAGTAACTAGAGACACTCTTCAGGGCGGAGAACTCTCGCCGTTGCTGTGGCTACTCGTAATTAATGATATTTTGACGGAACTGGATAATCAAGGTATAGAAGCTGATTTCTGATATGGTATCGGCCACCATTATCGACGCTGGCACGTTGGGCCAAGGCTAACGTCCTTGGAATTAATCGAAAAAAGACGGAAGTAGTAATTAATTGCACCTTGGTGAGACCCATATTAAGAAAATTAAGCGAGGAAAACCAGTGCTGAGATTTGACGTTGTAGATGTCGTTATCCCGAATGTAAGCATAGTAAACCTCCTTTGGACGGTCTGGCCTTTTATACATACTGTTCCAAGGTAAGTACTGGGATTTATTGTGCTGGCATCTACTGTGAGCACACTTATAGGTTAGATAGCGACTGTAGTGTATTACAGTCAGAAATATTCTCGCTTTTGAAGGAAACGGAATTGAAAAAAAGTCTGGATGCAGAGATTTTGGAACCAATGATGTTCTTTGTGGATAGTCAATCCTGTAGCATCAAGCCTTGAGTGTAGAAAAGCTTTGGAAACACTGGGTACCAGGAGACTGTGATTTTATGGGATATAAATCTAGTAATCTCTGGCTTTAAATTCGATTTTAAATTTTTATATTTTCAATGGGCTGGAAAATCAATACCAAAGCTTTTTAAGTTCTGCAACTTTGCAGATATATATTTGAAGATTTAAAGGAAAAGAAAAATAATTTACAAAATTTGTTTGTTGTTGTTTTATGGGATTAAAGAAAAGTCCTTTTTTTGATGGTAGGCATCATGACTCCTTACTGGAACATCGGAATCCGAAAATTCATACGGTGTTAGAAAGGGTACACGTGTGGCTCTCGTATGGACTAGAGTTATTGACTTCGCTCAAAAATCAACAAAATGGCTGACCCTTGAAAAATATTTTTTGTAAAATCGCCTATTTTTACCACAAACCAAGTTAAAAAATAAGGATGATCTTCATCGATTGGTTTATCCTAGTTCATACGATAGACGTTTCACAGAGAAACGTCCCAATATTTCGAATCGATCGGATTATTAGTAAAAAAGTATGTTTGGTGAAAAAAGTGTTTGAAGTTTGAGAAGCCCTTTTACCGTCACTTGATGCTTACACAATAAATCGGCTATATCCTCAAAATTGTTGAGATTTTCATTTGAAATTGCATAGGGACATTCTTGAATTAGTGTAGATTTGAATTAAATAAAAATACAAAATTAATTTTTTTGAAACCGAGAATGTGAGTTCCCCTTAATCAAACTACCTTCTGCGAAATATTGAGACTTTCTTCGACGAAAAAGCTAGTGATTTATGGCATAACGAACCTAGGTGCAATGTACCAAGTTCCATCTCTTTGTCAGGAAAAAAAAACAAACTCATTGTTGAACCCGAGCAAAGCTGAAAAAGGTGTAATGGGGGGAGACTACTGCAAATTCTGTGATGATGAGGATGCGATCAAGAATATCCTGTGTCGCTGAACGATTTTGACCTGCAAAATGCATCAATTAGAGAGTGTTAACTTTACACTATGTCTAACCTTCCATTCAATTATAGAAACTGATTTAATCTACAGCATCATCAGGAATCTGATGTGGCTGGGACCTGAACAACCTGAACACGTATCCACAATTTTCCCTACCATCACCACCCAAACTTATTTCTTCTTTATAAATCACTTTTTTTCCTTTTATCCTCTTCCGTTTTCTTCTCCCCTCCGTTATCTTATAGGTTTCCTTTACATCACCTTCCATGTGTTTTCCTTGGATGA